TACAGAAGTCTTTAATTCTTGTTGTAAGAATATCTGTTTTTAGGTGACCCTGGAAGCATTTCAGTCCCTTCTTTTAGACTAGGTATTAGATATTAACAGTGGGGGTCAGCTAGAGTATAGACAACACAGATAGATAACTCATACTTGATAATCCTACCCATGTTAAGCTGTTGTTTGTTGCTTTTGTAAATGATCTTTTCAAGACAGGCTTTCTCTGTGTAATAGTCCTGACTATCTTGGAATTCGTTTTGCAGACCAGGCTGGCCTCGAAATCACTGAGACCGGCCTGCCACTGCCTCCCAAGCACTGGGATTATGACGTGCGCCACTACTACTCTGCTGTTCTTGTTATTGAACCAAGGCTGAGTGCTTTTTCCAGCACTAATTGTTTTCTGCAGTGGGAAGAGTATAGTGCAATGACCTTTAGTAGCTTAGCTTTGAATTCCTGATCTGCCATTTACTGGTTATACATACTTATGAAAAATCTCTCTCTTTCTCTCTGTCTCTGTCTCTGTCTCTGTCTGTCTGTCTGTCTGTCTGTCTGTCTGTCTCTCTCTCTCTCTCTCTCTCTCACACACACACACACACACAAAACCACCCCTGAGCTTCAGTGTCCTCATCTTCAAAATGGAGATAACCATACCTACCCACCATCTAGTGATGGTGGAGGCTTAAACATCTACAGGTACCTACCACGCCTTAGGTGAATGGCTTTAATTATCATGAAATCTGCTGCGTCCAATGCCAACACATCGAAATAAAAGCCTCCACAGGTTCAAAGTGCTGCAATAGATTTCTCAGCTCTGGCACAATGGTTTGTACACAAATATTTCCTCATCCTTACACTCCACCTTTCTGAAAATAAATGCCTGGTTTAAGGTTGACAATTGGTTGTGGTGGTGACGACTAGGGGGAAGAGTTCACTGGCCCAGTGTGCCAGAAAGTGTGTCTCTTGGAGTCAGGTGTCCACTTGGCTCTGTTTGACACTCAGACCCACATGGCTTTTCAGTCAAAGGTCATTTGCTACACTCCTGGCGTCCTCAATCAGCTCACTCCTGCTAGGAGGCCTGACTGCTAGGTTGAACTCATGCCACAGGCTCCGAGATTCTATTTGTCTTTGAGCCCAGGAAACAGCTTGGCTCTCAGGCCAATGCCAAAGGTCTGAGTGCAACACTCACTTGAATTCACACAGACAGAAAGTTTGTCCTGTTCTTTATTGGTTTGTCAATTGATTGATTTTTAGAATTCGGGGCTTCTCACGATCATCTAAGCTTCCCTCTCTGGCAATATCTGGGACTAGTGACTACTCCTGGCCAGGCATAGCTTACCATCTAGAGGTAAAAGGCCCAGAAATTTCTCCATCACATGTTTAAGATACAGCAGATGCCCCAGGATTCTTATTTTGTGAGAAATAAATCATCACAGACCATTTTCGGCATGAAGTGCGTTTATTGCTCACCAGAGAATCACAGAGAAGCAGGATGCACTAGGCCCTGGTCTCCTTGGCTGGCAGCTGGCACCCACTTACCTAGGTACTCTCAGTTCATCCTAGGGTTGAAAGTCACAGGTAGCTGCTGTGCAACTGAGCCCATGTAACAGAACAGAGAATCACTAGATAAGGCTCTGTGTCCTGAGCCAACAAGATGGGGAATTTGGGGAGGAGGCAGTACTAGACACCAGGAAGAGTATATCTCCCTGAAGAACTCAGCCAATGAGAACTAAAAGGGGCAGAGAAATTCTATTAGGAACATAAGATCCACCATTTTATGCCAAATTGGCATGCTAGTCACTGTTGTCTTTCTTCTGGGCTAACCCCCAATTTCTATAGTACCAAAAATAAATTTGTCTAGCTTTTGATATTCTGAATCTCCAATGCTCTTTTTATGAATTGAGAATCATTGTTTCTCACAGTTTTAAAGCATGCAGTTCATTGACAATTATTGATATGTTCTCAAAGCTGTGAAATAATCACTAGACCAAATAATTCTTTTACTCCAATCCAATCATTTAAAAATGAGCAATCTCAGCCGGGCGGTGGTGGTGCACGCCTTTAATCCCAGCACTCGGGAAGCAGAGGCAGGCGGATCTCTGTGAGTTCGAGGCCGGGCTGGACCGACAGCCTCCAAAACAATACAGAGAAACCCTGTCTTGTAAAACCAAAAAAATAAACAAATAAAATAAATAAAAATGAGCAATCTCAGCTGGGCAGTGGTGGCTCACACCTTTAATCCCAGCACTCAGGAGGCAGAGGCAGATGGATCTCTGTGAGTTCGAGACCAGCCTGGTCTACAAGAACTAGTTCCAGGACAGCCTCCAAAGCCACAGAGAAACCCTGTCTCAAACAAACAAACAAACAAACAAAAAAAGAGCAGTCTCTACCAATTATCTATCTTTCTGGAGCCAGTGAATCTTCCTGGCTGACCAGCATTTTTACTTAATATCAACTTACCTTTATATAAGTTGCTGGTGCCAAAATTCTGTACTTTGGGGTGGTTAGCTCTTCAGGCTGTTTAGTTTGCACATTAAAGTAGGATTGTAGGATTGCTAATACGAGTCAAAAGCATATTCCTTTTTACTTGGATGTTTTCTCTGCCACTTTCAAGAATGAAAAAAAAATAACTGTGAAATGAAGAATTTTCCTAGACATGTTCGCTCTTTTCTCCTCATACATTCCTTCTTGGTGAGTATGTGTAGCATATGCTTAGAGATGTCTTCTTCCAGGGGAGTCAACCTTCTCAACCCCACTGCCTATTAATATTCTTATCAAATAGCAATAGAAATGTCAATATTCATATTGTTCTCATTTCAAAGATCTCATGTTTGGCAAGAACTAGAATTTTTGGCAGGAGTTAGGGGAGGCTGAGAACGGAACCCATACTAAATAGCTTTTGTTTGTCTTATTTATGTCTTTAAATTTAAAACATTTTAAACTTCTATAAAGCCACTATGATGTTCTTTTTAAATATATGAATTTCAACTATACTGAACATTATTAAACAAGTAAATAATATTCTAGCTTCCATCAGAGCTCATCCTTCAGTTACTGTAGGTCCTGAATTGGTGAGTGTTGAACAATATAACAAACTAGAGTAGGTTTCCTGAAAGCTCCCTTAGTTGCCTCAATTCTAGCTCCTTAGATGAAGGAAGGCTTTATTCTAGATCACGCCCCCCCAAAAATCCCTAAAGTAGAAGACAAATATGCATCATAGTTTATGTACAAAGAGAACATCATGAACCATTGGTATCCATGCAGAATTGTTTTCTACTTCTAATGCAGGATTTATATCTCTGTAATAATATGGGTGTATGAAAACATGATAAGCCACAGTCAGAAAAATACCAGTCAGTGAGTGCCACTGTAGACAAGATCATACTGGCCGAAACAGCACCTCTACTGTTGGATGATATTAAGGAAGTGGTTTTAGGAAAAAGCACCAAAGAGCAAGCGTCTAGACTACTTCACATGAGGGTCCAGTTTTTCTTTCCTTCATTCAAATGTCCATGAAAGATACTTGTAAAGAATGAAAGCCATGCTAATAGCTACTCCACAGTGTTAGTGATGCCATTATTGTAGGCAAGAGGGTCTAGCTTAAAGTTGTCGTTAAATTCTGTCACAAATTGTTCAGTTGCTTTAGTGTTAAGCATCCACGGTATTTGAAACTGCTAGAGACCATTTGATTGAGTGTCTCATGATCTAGGGGAAGGTCCCTTGTGCTCTTGTATGATGATGAATATAGCTACATGTTCAAATTCCCTTGTGACAGAATTGAAGGAACATTGAAATTGCAATATATTGCTAGACCTCCACTGTACCAAATGCCTGAAATAGGTAAGTTATTGGCTTAAGTTGGGATCTTTTTAAAAAAATATATTGAGGTTTTCATCATGATGGTATTTATTGTAAGGGGATATGAACTGTAATATAACAGTTACAGCCATAAATATAATTATGAGCATGTGAGTGCTGAGGGAATACAGCAGAGATTAATTAGACACAGGTAGTTCCAGGACTTCTCCAAGGGCTTTGAGCTGATGCAGGGGGAGGTCTTGCTTCTCACCAGCTTTCTCTTTGTCCCTGAGGGACTCTCCCTCCTCCACTGAGACAGAAGGGCAGGTCTTTTTCGGCTGCACCCAAATCAGAAGGACTTTCTGATGGCTTCAGTAGGAATCTCACCACACACCTTTAAAACTGTTACTAGAAAACACTGTTTCCCATCAAGAACGTACCTTTTGAGACGTTTGATGATGTCTCAGGATTGGGAAATTGTCATTTAAAACGAAATGACATGCAGAGGACTAGGAGCCAAACCATCACAACTCCACTAAGGAAAAGTGTGTTTAGTAATGGACCTCATAATGTATGAAGCAGTCATGGGTTGACACAGTTGCTGGGACACTGTGGTCACTCTCATCTGTCTCATCACACATGAGATCTTGCATTAGAGTAGAAAAGTGACATGCTGCCTCTTTTTGTCTCCCAGACACCTACACATTTCATGGCTTCACGTATTTTAAAAGAGACCCTAGTATTAGCAACCATGACTACTCCCAGGCATAGGATTTGGGTTACAGTAAGTTATTTGAATAGATCTAAATAGTAAGGTCACTGATGACACTAACAATAATTTAGGAAATAACCCATGGAGATGGAGACAGACTCTCTGATTTTTGCTAGTACCTTGAAGGGAGGCTTATGCACAGCTAGCAGCAGTTAGAAACTCCTGCATGACTTGACCTCAATCCCTTGATCTAGAGGCTATTTTATTGCATCAAGAAATAGTTAATCACTACCAATAAGGGACAACAAGTCGAAGCACAAGTTAAGCCAGATGTGGGAATTTTGTAGTGGGTGCTTGTAGCTCCCAAGGTGATACAATCAAGGACATTGTGTTGACCATTAACTGTCCCGATCTTAGCATGGGGGTGACTCACTGTAAACCCAAGTGAGTCACTTAAGCCCTGGGCTCCTCAGTTTCCCAACTCTCTTCTAACATGCATGTCAACGCCTCACAAAAAGTGTGTTTTGAATGACCAGTTTCCAGACACCTGAGTGGGTAATCCTGCCCACAGAAGCAAAGAGCAGAGACTTTCTTTAAAGGCAAGCTGGTGTTACATCGGTACCAGACCACAATCTCTGACTACGGAGAGCTGGAAATCAGCAGTCAAGCAAAGGTGAAATTCCAGTCATCCGCATGGCTAAAATGCCAGCAAGCAGAATGTAGTTTTCACACAGCTGGAGAGGTGAAAGCAGGCTGCAGGAAGCAGCCAGGGAGACCTTGGGCAGGATGGAAGAACCCCAGGGTTAAGACGAGGAGGTAAGGGGGAAGCGGGAGCAGCTTCACAAAGTGGTTCATCGCCATCACATGACTCAGATGCTTGTTTTTTAAGTCTGCACTCCAGACTGAGGCGTCTGTCATTTCAGCCACAGATAAGTATCAACAACAGGGAGCTGAGGACAGAGAAAGGAGAAAACAAAGGGCTGGGGTTGTTTGCACTGTGAAAAATGATCAACAATCAGTTATTGGAAGGCATCAAGAACAACATTTCCACAGTGTTTTCTCAGCCGCAGACGCCAGCAGAAACTCCCCACAGGAGGCTCTACAGCAGTCACCGCACAGACAGCACAGGAAGCTGCTCGCAGTAACTGTCACCTTCAGGATGAATGACAGCCGGCCTACAGAGCCAGGGTCCTACGTGTGCTTACACGAAACCAAGTGGACTTGGTCATTTTTTGGTGTTTTAATAATGCTGATGCAAAATATGAGTAAAATTACAGGTGCCAGTTCCCACTGTGGAGCACTGATAAACAACTCGCCACTTTGCAGTGGCTGGTCACATCTGGGGCCTTTAGGGAGGCGAAAGTACTGGAAGGATTATTGCAAAAACTTAAAGACACTTTTGCTGCCATTACTTTGTTTTTAACCTAAATTAGTGGGGTTGGGGGGAGGGGTGCTTTTTTTTTAGAGAGTTGCAATGCATATATCATACACATATTTAAACACTAATCAAATAGCAAGATTGGAAACGGGGTGAGGTCTTGGAAACTTTTCCAAATTGACCTTAAATAATCAGAGAACAGCATAAAACTGTGGAATTATGGATTATGGTTTTCAATATCGAATACTATCAAATTCCCCAGTAAAAATAACCTGCTCGAACTCGATTGATCACTGTTGATAACCTCTTTTACAATGGTGGGTTAGCATGTAATGTCAGTGTCAGAGTCTTAAGTGGGAGAACACAGTTCTTATTCACTATGGAGTTGTGGATTTTGATAACCACAAACATATAGACAGAATATATTGGGAGATGGTTGATATTTAGGCTTGCTTTGAATAAAGCTCTTGAATAAAGCTCTTCTTCTAGTATAAATATTTCTTCATGCCTTATATCTGGTTTAAGGTTATCTGGCCTAGAACCAGACCTAGGAGTAGATGACAAAGTGTCTGGATCATACCCTTCACGATTGGTGTATGTTTCTCATCAGGTGTCTTGAGGAATCATCATGCACATGTATGTCTAGTAGTACACAGCCCTCTTCTGGGCTTCTCATTTTGTTCCCTGCGGTTGAGAAAGCATAATGCAAATCCTCTGGCAGAAAGACGACGCAGCCACTGAAGTCTGGCTTCCAGGGGATCCCTTCAATGAGTGCACATACTTTGCCATGGCATTACATAGATTGACAGAAAAGCAGATGTTTGCAACAACAATGTTGGATTCATGCTGCTATATTTCTTACAGGGCTTATTTGCCGAGAAATATTCCTTTTGGACCAGTGAAATGGCTCAGCTGGTAAAGGCACTTGTTGCCAAGACTGACAAATCTGAGTTCAGTCCCCAGAACCCCACACCCACATGGCAGAAGGAGAGAACCAATGCTCTCAAATGACCTCAGCACATGCGCGCGCGCGCGCGCACACACACACACAAATAAATAAATGTGCAGCTATGTCTCTTAAAAAGAAACTAGGTTGTGATAGGGGAACTTAATAGATTTTGTTACTGGACATTGAAGCAGTGCAGTATAGTGGGTAAGTGAAGACTTCTTCCTTTATGCAAATGAATGCAAGTTGATCTTGAATCTGTTTGGTGAAAAAAGGCACCCCCTATGCTGTGCACTGTTAGTGCTTGTAGACGCAAGCACACATTGCCTCGAATGTGTATTAACATCAGATGTTACTTCTCCGAGAAATAAATCTCTCGGCCAAAATGTGCCCACCGGAATGAAAGGAGGCCTTGTGGTGCTCTCTCCAGTTGTAGTCTACTATGGTCTGGACATTTGTGCCCTGCCCCCTCCCAAACTCACATGTTGGATTCCTGTCCCTCAAGGTGGTAGGATTAGGAAGTGGAGCCTTTGAAGGATGATTATGGCATCTTAAGGATGGAGCGCCTCCCAGTGAAAGTAATGCCCTTACCTGGTGGGGGGAAGGGGGAAGAAGAAGGGGGGGCGGGAGTGAAAGAAGGAGAAAGAGGGTGAGGGAGGGAGGAAGGGAGAGAGGGAGACAAAAAGAGGGAGAGGGGGAGGGGGAGGGAGAGGGAGAGGGGGAGGACCCTCGAGAGTTTGTTTGTCCATTCACCTTGAGAGAAGACTGTATCTCACCAGACACCATGTCAGCCAGCCCCCTTAGTGATGGAACTTTCAGCCTCAGAACTAAGGAATACATTTCTGTTGTTTATAGGCCACCCTGCCTGTGCTGCTTCCTTATCAGGATACAAGGTACTAAGATGCCATCCTTTCTGTCTGACGTCTCCCGTTAAGCCTCTTTGGGGCAGTAAAAGAGACTTTCTAGGTGACTAAATCAAGAAGTTAAAGACTTTTTCTATTTTTCTTTTCTGTTTATTTTCTAATTCTACTTATTGCAGTGATATTCTGAGCTGGGTACAAGATTATAGGACTTACATGTGAGAGAGGAGAAGGATGGTGCGAACATTTGCTGAGTGCTTACTGTATACCAAGCTCTCGCCGTAAAAGGTCTCCCGTGTTCCTAACAACAAACTGAAAAGAGATGAGGACCTGGGACTTCCTGAGAGCTCATATATCAAAAGCCGGGATTTCAGGCTGGATCCAACTCCGAAACATGTGTTCTCTTTACCGCGCTGTTCTCTTTTGGATTCCAAAACTATGTAAGAGGGACCAGAGGGAGAGAATTTCTTCAGAGGAAAAGATCTAATATCATTTGCAATATGTTTAATATGTTTGCATATCTTGTTAGGAAATCTACGTGGTGCAAAATGGACCTTGTTTGTTTTTTTTAAAATATCTCCTATATTCCAATTTGTATTTTCTATTTGGAATGCTCATCTAGAAAGTTGCATCTTGATGGCTGCAAAATACTGGTGGAAATTGCTGCTTTTGCTACAATAACATCTATAATGCTCTTAGTGATGGCCTTTTCGCTTGTGGTACTACTTTTTTAACCAGTTGCCAGGAAAAGCAAGCCACTCAAAAGAAGTTTATTGTGAAGTTACAATGGGTTATCTCTGGCCATCCTGGGGAGGGGAGATCAATGTAAAGTTCATGCATTGGACTGAAGGCTAGACCGTGAACTGAGGGCTTGCCCGTGTCTCCCACCACTGGCCATTTTCGTTGCTGTGTTCTCTGGTTGTCCACCCACTTTCCCAAGGGTTTCTGCCTGTATATCAGTATGATCTTGACACAAAATAGCCCCCAGGTCTCTCAGTTTCTATGATCACTAGGTTGCCATCCGAAAAAACTCTTGAGCCTCTTTAATTTCCAGAGAAAATTCTGACTGTTTAATGCTATCGGTGTCTTTGGTCAAATGCCCTCCGCTGAACCGCTAGTGTCCCTGGGGAAAGTGGTACAAACATGCCCATCTCTCTAGCTGGGCTGCAGCTACAGGCAGTTCCTGGAAGAAGGGATGTCTCTACCCTTAAACAAAAAGGGTACAAATGTGTTCTTGTCATTAGAGTGTCTTCATATAGTCTTCTTTGAACTAGAATCATTTACCCTCATTTTGCTCTTAAAACTATGACCAACTGTGTAAGTGGCTTTCCTGTTGTCATTTGACAAAATAAACTAGAGACAAAGCCTAGGTTTCTAGGATCCTTGACTTTCTACCATATCAGGCTGCACCTTCTTTCATGGAAATGTACAAAACATTTGAAAGAATGTTGTCCTGTTTTGCTTTCAGCCTACAGTGTAATTCTCATTTAGTACTCAGGAATGAATTTTCTGATTTGAAGCCACAGTGCGTACTGGCTTCTCTTCATAGAACTACATTTTTGCGATTTGTCTAAGATTTTGTGTTGTACTCCATTAGAAGTTTGTGATGTATTTTCCTATTCTGACATTGTATGAACTTCCAGGAATGATGCACACCACACACACACCCAAAAATTGTGAGTTGTGTTCCGGTCTGTAGAATGATTGTAGCTCCAGTTTGTACATTCCTGAAAGGAACCATGATCTGAGGAGTCATCTTTACATGCAGGGAGAAAGCCAGGTATGGTGGTCCATGCCTGTAATCCCAGCACTAGAGAGCTGAATCAGCTGGAGCATCACAAATCTGAGGTTAGCCTGGTCTACCCAGCAGTTTCCAGGCCTGCCTAGGCTACATAGAGAGACTATGTCTCAAATAAATAACAAGGAAATAAAATGCATAGAATGTTTATATTACTTTTCAATGACTGCCAAACTTCAAACTAAAAATCAGGAAAAGAAAGAAAGAAAAGAAGAAAAGGAGAGAGAGGGAGGGAAGGAAGGAAGGAAGGAAGAAAGAAAATTTCTCTGCAGTAAAGTCTGCTATTTTTTTCCCAATGTTTAAAGAAGTGATAGTGTTTGATAGATGAAAGGAATTTGTTTCTGTCCTTAAAAACACACAGTGTGGTATAATGAATAAATTAAAATACACATATAAAACATTGCTTTGTTTCATCTATAATGAACATATCTGTTGTCAGTGGTCACTGTAGCAAGAAATGGATGGCAATTTTTTATGGAAGAACTCTACAGATAAATTCCTGCAGTGCTTCAAACGCCTGGAAAATTCTCTGGAAATGGACCTTGAACGGCTACACAGTTAGCATTCAGATATGAAAGAATTTGGGGAAATCGCAACTGTCTAAATATTAAACACCAAAATTTCCTTCTTTCAAAGAACTAATAACTTAGCAGGAAAATTTGCCTTTGAATCTTGCCATCACAAGGTCTCGGGAAGGCAGAGGACTTTAAATAAAAATTTGCAGACCATTCTTATTTAAGCAAAATTAACAGCGAGGCCTAGAGGAGTGACTTAGTTGGCTGCCCCAAACTCACCTTGACCAGACAGCACCCTGCCTCCCTGGCAGCCTAAGTTTCTCCTCTGTGGAGCTGACTGCAAGGCAAGCTGCCCAAGATGGATGCTGTCAGGGAAATGCCTCTGAGCAGAGGAGGAGGCACTAATCAGCTCCTGCAGCTGCTGACCTGACCCTCGACGGTTAAAGAAGCAGCACACAGCCACGAAAGTGGAGCAGATGGTGGCTATGGAATCACAGGAGGGGTAACAAGAAAGGAGGAGTCTTTGGGCATGCAAACAGGGGTCACCCAAACAAGAAAAGTCCCTTTGTCCCTGGTAATCAGGAAAGGTGTTATTAACACATTAGTAGACTCACCCATATACAGGAGGGTAAAGAGAAGGTGACCTTCTAGAGTTCTTCCTGAGTAGGCAACTAGAGGCTGAGTTCTAGTTCCCAAGTGGGGACACGCACATTATTCTGTAGTAGGAAAGCAGAACTGGGAAGATGGCTCAGTGGGGAAAGCTCCTGTCATCATCACGCAAGCATAGGACCAGAACTGGGATCCCCAGAATCCGTGTGAAGCCACCTCACCCCAGAAAGCTAGCTAGCGGGACAAGCCTAAAAGGCAGGATTGAGTTCAATGAGGGTGACTGCCTCAATATTGAAGATGGAGAGCTACAGGGGGATGCTCAGCATCAACTTTAGGCACATTCACGCAGACCCACACACACACATAAACATGTATATACAAAAGCACATACGCAACACACACAGACACACTCAAAACAATTGAGATTAAAAAGTAGCAAATGGAGCCATAGTCCAGGAGTGCAAATCTGGGAAGCCCACTTCTACTTTTTTCTGAGCGTGTGTCTGCTGCTGAACATACTGACATTGGTTGTCAAGAAAATGCTCCACCGAAACTCATGATATAGCCCAGAGCTTCTTCGTCAACCCATATTATAGACAAGGAAAGGGAAAGTCAGAAAGATGCCAGAGCTCCCAAGATCACATGCAAATTGGAGGCAGAGAATTAGAAAGAAGAAGAGACACCTTCCTATAGACATGCGGCAATGCCTTTTGACTTTCAGCACATTTTCTTGATTACTACAATCCCAACTACACAAGGGAGGAACGGGGAGGGAATCGGTCTGGCTGGAGTAAACTTAGATAAAAGCACCTCAACTTTGCATCTTAAGAAGAAGCAGATTATGTAGAGGCAGCTACTTTTTGTTTTCAACACGTGTGAAAGATAGAAGTATATCCACTAATTTATGGGAAAGGAACTACACTATTATTTGTTTTCTGTGAGTTCAATAGAATTATGAAGACCTCAAAGACAGCAAAAATGAGACTTCATTCAAGCAGATGACTTAGACACATAGGTTAGACCTGTGTGTTTTTTTACTGAAGACTCTTAAATCTCTCAGTTCATGTAAATTTCTTTCACAACTTTTATGGTTCATTTTTACTCGTTGAGAACAGGACATAGAGAAACATTAACCTACCCTGGATGCCACCAGGTACAGCTTGGACAGAAGTCAAGGTCTGTCCATTTCCAGGGACACTTTTCTTGGTGTGTGGAGCAGCATTTTTTAGAAAGGGGAGGTCTGGGCCGCCTTAGAAGAAACGTGACAAATGAAGACATTTCGGATGGCCACAGCATGGGAGCTGATTCTCATTTCTAATAGGTAGAAGCTCCACGTGGTACTGAACAGAGAAAACTCACAATCTACAACAAAAGAGCCACGTCTCCTTCAAAGTCCATCAGCTGTTGAAAGATACTTTCTTCTGACATATTCAGTTAGAAACAACTAAACTTAACTCGTCCAGACCACAATGAGAGGCAGGCTCTCCTCCTCAGAGGCTCAACTCCTTTAAAGTCTTCCCAGGCTGTGTAAATCATCAAAATATTGCAAAGGCCACGAAGAGCGACTGGTAGGAGGCAATGAGACCTTGTGGCCACCGTCAAGGCAAAAATGCTGTCAGCACACAACTATATTTCTGTTTCGTTTGCTTTCCCTTGGTGCCCCTGGCTTCATTTTACCGCTTTTCAAGATCCATCTTTCCAAAATCCTGTTTAAAAACACGTTTTTCCCAGTCACATGCCAAACATGTTTTTTGTTTTATTTTGGGGAGGAAGGGGGGATGGGTTTTTTTTTGTTTTTTGTTTTGTTTTGTTTTTCATCTTTTGCTCTTTCTCCCTGTTCTGTACTCTTTAAGCCCAAAGCAAGTTAGCAATGACAAAATCCTTTCAGAGCACACAGCAAGAATCTGGGAAGACTCCCACGTTAACAGCTTACACCCAACTTGCCTGAACCAAAGGTCCTGAACTCAAATCTTGAGGTCAACTCAGACGACTTTCCAAAGGTCTGGGAGGAGAGAGAAAGTACTCCTAAGAATGCCTGGTTTATAGTTGGAAAGACACAGATGCATCTTTCTTTGCTTTGAGTCCCCATTTCTAAACCACCCAGGTTGGCCCCACCATCTTGTGCCCCAGGGCTTGATTTGAGAATTCCAGGGGAGCTCAGGGCCAAGGGGGAACCACTTTTGCAGTCCAAAGCAGGGAAGCTGGCGTGGTGACCTTCTGTTCTGTGTTGATCCTTTGGTCTGATACTTGTTTTTAGTTTCACTTTCTTTTAATTATGTTCACTCCATATCTGACCTGAATAATGCCTTTTTTTTTTTTTGGTTCATTAGTTAATTTTAGTGGTAATAGCCCATTGTCATTAGAGTGGTTTCTCGGGTCACTGTGTATTGCAGAGAATAGATCGTTAATTAAATTGTAATGTTTTCTGAATTTGGATGTGATTCCTAAAGTTAATGGCTGTTAGTTACCTTGATGTGGTAAGAAGAAAGAGAAAAGAAAAATCAGTACATGAGAAGCACTAGGTATTCTGCAAGCTGCCCTACAAGGGGCAGATCACATCACACTGTTCAAAAGCAGCAGCTTTGCTGACTAGGCACTGACATAGTTAAGAAAAACCATGAATCACGAGGGGCCAGGAAAATGGTGCTGCCCGGCTCACATTCCGAGGCAGCATAATTTATAAAGCACTAGGACAGTGGGAGGTAGGCTGTCAGAAATGCTAAGTTCTCTGTGGAATTATTACATTCTCTTTGAAAGATTCGATGTCATTGAAACGAGGTAATCTGGGAAAGCTTGGAGGTCCTGTGCAATTGGGAAAAGTGCAAAGATACTTAGAAATGAAGCCAAATTTCTTAGCACTTTTCCCACTGGAAATCAGGCCCAGGGTCTTGTGAAAACAGGCTTTCTTTTCAAGCACCAGGAGGAAAGAAATACTGCAAGGATGCCTATGGCACTTTGAAACTCCCAGAGTCCCCGATACCAGAAAGGTCAGAGCTATGCAGAAACCGCATCGACTGTGTTTCAGATATATGCTTGTTCCCATACTCTTTTCAATTATTTAAGATCAGATATTGCCTACAGGTGCAAGGAAAAGAGACAATAGAAAAATTAGCAATATGTGTTGATGACTTCAGCAAACTTACTGTCAGTTGCTAATTTATTATTACTTTTGATGACTAGAGACTTGTAATATGATCTAGTCCTTACTTAGTGCTAAATACTGTGTTAAGTACTAAGATGCTAAGTACTTAGTGCTAAGGACTAAATAGAAATACCACCCTCAACTTGGAGACTTAGAGAGACCTAGCAGTGTGACCAATGTCACACAGTTTGTTAGTGGTGAAGCCTGTGTCCCACTTCCCGTAGCTTTTTGTAAATGTATCAGGTTTTAATCTAATAAAAAAGATTAAAATGACTAAATCTACTTGACATTTTGGAATGGAATATGATTCACCTTGAATAAGAACACTTTGGATTTTGGCATAGCGAACTGGCTATTTTTTTTCAAATCATTTTTATACAATTCCTGTCTGGTCCATTATGTTGCTGTACATGTACTCTCCAGATACAGATGACATCACTGCTGTTAACACCTCCATGGAATGTTCCCTCAAAGAGAAAGTTTATCCAACTTTCAGAACTGGTATCCGCACACTATTCCCCAATCAGCTCATGTTCTCCTTACCTATTAACACCCTCAGCTCATCCATGGAATGAGACCTTTCTTCTAATGGATTGTATGACGTCTGCCCAGTACCGTCTGTCTATTTCCTTGGAAGTCCATTGTATCCACTAAACAGGTGGCCCTGTTTCTAAAGCATTTGTGAGCAGCTTTATAATGGTTTCCATGGCGATAGGATGAAAACATTACTTCAAGTCATTTAAAATGATAATTGACCAAAACAAGCACATGCAGTTTTGCTTGTTGCCTGGCTATTGAAAGGTCTATGGTAACTTGGTCAGCCGTTTGCAGCAGCTTTTGCTCCTCACGTCTGGGTATCCAGCCACAACCTGTTCACAAACATTGATTTCATCATGAGTGGCCGCAGAGCAATTTCAGCGAAGGTTCTAGCTGAACCTTTTGTGGCAAACATTGCCCTTTCGTGGGTGCAGAGTGATAGGACTTCAAAATGAACCATCGAGCCCATAGGCAAGATAAGTGCAGCATACTGGCTTGTTTTCCAGGCTAGCAGTTAAGCAGATTCTCTTCTGAATCAAATATCAGAAGTAAGCCTTACCCATTTGTGTATGATACCAGAATAAATAGAGCTTCC